AGAAAATGAATTATAAAGGTTGAACTCCAATTTTAAGGGCCTCGCAGTTTCCCGTCCTGTCTTGTCCCTAGAGTATCGTGAAGGAGGTAAATCGCGGGATGTGCTCAGCAGGCCACGGTACAGAGTTGCCATACTAATACCCACAAGAAAATGAATTATAAATAACACTTGTGAGAGAGAAGGACTAGAGATACGTTTGACAAAGCAATGGTCAAGGCTCGAGGGAGGGTAACAGGAATGGAGCAATGGAACATTTGCTTTTGCCCGTGTTTGGTGGCCTTTAATTTGAAAAATTTATGTTTTATATAATACTCTTTGNATCCGTCGAGGAGGATGTAAAAAATCCTCTGACGAAGTAGAATAATTCAGATATGAATGGGCTACCGATACGATTTTTTATTATATGATTTTCACATTATCTTTCGTGATTCTTAAGAATAGATATTGTAATTGATCCTGTCGCAATATCGTCGGAGCTCCAAAATTTTCTGCTTATATTATAAAAAGGGATAATACGTTGCTTTCAAGATTAGGAAATTTTTTATTATTCCTTGTGATATTTTCTGATCCCCTTAGAGATTATTTTTGTTATGTAATAACTATAAAATCTTTTCTTTTAATAATTTTTAATCTTTTATATATATAGAAAAAATAACTAGGAATTTTTTCTTCTAATATTACCTAGTGTTTTAAAATACACACATATATTTTGAATAAGATCGATGCATTTTCAAAACGTAATGTTTTATGTGGCATGAGCACGATAATGGGGTCAACCCATTTCGTTAACCGATACATGCACTCTTAAACGTCAAAATACGCAAGTATTTGTATTAAAAATTGCATCACAATTAGTTTAGCAAAGCCCAACCCGTTTTTATACTTAAAAAGGTAAAATGAGTTCAACAAATATCAAATTAACCCAAATCACATAAGTCCATGAACTATATACAGCAATTTATAGGGTTTTGACATTTAAAAATAAAAATCAAAAATCAAAACAATTTTTTCGTAAAATTGCAAACTATCGACGTCCAGCCCGAGCATCCTTCTTTTTCGATATTTCTCTTGTTTACTAGCAAGTGCTGCTAATGATGAACCATCTTAGATTGTTGCTGTCAGTGATGATGAGAGGAGGTTAATAATGATATCCTACCATTTNTCTTGTTTACTAGCAAGTGATGCTAATGATGAACAATCTTAGATTGTTGATGTCAGTGATGATGAGAGGAGGTTAATAATGATATCCTACCATTTACAAGATGTAAAAGAAATTCTTAAGTTGCAATAAGGGAGACTAATGAAGATGATTTTACATCGGATGACACAAAAAATGGCTTGGGCGAAGAGGAGTTCAAATTGAAATCCGATAAATTGTTAAAACAATATTTTGGTTTTTTATAATTCAATGTTCGTGTTTAATCTAATTGCAAGAATTGATTACCAACTGATTGTATTATTTATAATTTTGAGCATTATGTTTTCATTAAAAATCTGAAGAATATGTAAAAAGTTCAAGTACTTGTAACATTTATAATTTTGAGCAATATATATATTTTTTTAAATTTGAAGAATATATATAATGTTTAAAGAATACATTATTTTATTAGTTTAGAATAATTAAAATAATATTAAGAATTTTAAAACTTATAATTACGTATATGCTTCTACTCGATCGAAACGTATTGTCATGTATAACGCATTTTAAAATCTTGATATTACCATAAATTCAACATATGAAGAAAATTATTTTTTTACTAAAATAATTACATTTTTTAAAGTAAAACTCACTAAGATCCTGTTTCATATATTACATATTTTACGAGATCTATAATTTTTCAATTATTCATTTCATTATTTTTTTTATCAAAAATTATAAAAAAAATTAATTTTAAAATATTCCAAACAGGACCTATATATATTAATTCCATCCATGGTTAGTCGTGGTGTCGTTTTATAATTATGAAATCCACTGACCATCTATTCAGAAAAATATCACATGTACACTCTTTTATTGACATGATTGTTAACATTTCAAGTGTTGGTAAGTATTGATTATGTGAAAAAATAATAAAAATTCAAACTGTTCAATGATATGTTGTCATGTGATAAAGTGCAAAAAATAATGTAAATGACGATCTACGTGTAACATGATTGATCTATCTAATTTGTGATTTAGCAGAGGCGACGTCGGTTTTTGGTCCCCGCTTGAGTTCCTAACATAGGCATATCGTCAAATCATATTATGTGAGCCAGCTGTCAGAATCCAATGCTGTTGCACATAAACCACAGTGAAATTGGTAATTTTTTTTTCTTTTTTTTTTTTTTTCAAAAAGCCCAAGCAATGCTGCAATAGTAGTCAGATTTGTAATACTAATAAATTTATAACATGTTTGCAAATCATTCAATTTATAAATTAAAAAATATTAGATGTGAATAAATAGGCAATATTTGTACATCTTTCGAAATGTACTGATAAAAAGTTAATTGAATGGTTATAAACAGTTTATAAACATTAGTTAAATGATAGAGAATAGCTTGAATATTATCTTAGTTATTCATATGCGAGAAAAAGAAAGAAATGATCGAGAAGGAACTATAACTTGAGAATTGAAAAAGTGCTGACGAATTGACCTTTCCATCAGCCAGGGATGACTAGCACACCTTTAATACATTGGAGACTTGAATGCCGCAAATAGAATATTCCGAACCCAATTATCATAGGGTTCAAAAGTTAGGGACCCCAGCTGAAATATTCCCTCTGATCTTCAATGAAGGTTGGCCTGGCCTTGGGGAGTCTTGTGAGGAAATGGTGGTAGATTGCCGGTTGATCCAATCACTTTTTCACAATGGCCTTTGACCAAAATCAAGTTAAAAAAAAAAAAACTTTGAAAACATCACAAAACCCATTTTACCCCTATTTTGAACGTTGAGAATTTGAAGAATGTTATGAATTTGAAAATCTCTCCTACCATAAATCGATTCTTCGAGGTTTATTCATCATCTTCATCTCCATTGTTCAAAGTTTTTTCACCCATCTCCATCTTCATATTCAAGATTTCTTCATTTTATTTGGTTAAATTCTAAATCTTTTCTTATAATATTGATGAATAATGTGTTTTTAGCTTTAATATTTAAAGATTAAACAAAAAATTCTTTTATTTTGTTGAAGAAATCCAAATCTGTAAAGAAATCCCAGCATATATGTTAACAGAGTATGTGTGATCTTGGGGAATCTAGAACACCACCCAAACGGGGTCTGTTATAGACCTCGTTTGGGAGGTTCGGAAATAGACCACGCAGATCCCCGTCTGGGTGGTATGTTTCCAAATCCCCCAAAACACATAGACCCCAAGACGTCTATGAAAAAATCTCACTTTTGAAATTTGAAAAGGATATTTTTGTTTTTATAATATTGAAATGGTCATTGTGGCGAATAATTAGTAAGTTAGGCTTATATGGTGATTGAAGGGTTTGACGTGGCCATTTCAAAAATACGGCCAGAGTCTTATCAAATGATAAACAATTTATAAAGTAAGCATAACTAGATAATAATGTAACAAATTACAAAATTACAAAATCAACAAACAAAACTTCCAAATTTTAAGAAAACGCCTTTCAACCCATGAATTAAGCCCCTGTTTGACATCCATTTTCTTTTTATTCTCATTCTTATTTTTCTTCTCTTTCTTCATTTCAACCACACATTCTATCAATAAAATAATACTACACATAAACTCAAAAATTCTCATTACTTTTCAACCACACAT